CGTGGTGGTGGTGCACGGGCGCAGGACGCCCATCGGGCGCTCCAAGCGCGGCGGCTTCAAGGTACGGCCTTGGGGAGCCCCTTATGAACCCCCACGAACCCCCTCGAGGGTTTCCTCCTCAAGTGTCCTCCCCCGGGTGCTCGGCCCTCCTCAATGATCCTCCCTGGCCCCCTCAAGGCTGTTTCCCCTGTGCTGGGTGCTGGACCCCATCCTGTCCCCTTTTGGGGTGCTGAGCCCCCTTCCCTGGTGCTGCTGCCCCCTGTTTTTGGGGCCCCTGCTCCCAGCCAGGTTGCTGAGCTCCCCCCACAGCACTGGGGTCTCATAGTTGTTGTCACCAGGGTGCTGGGATGCTCTGAAGTGCTGGGCTGGTGGGAAGTAGCTGCTGTGGCTGAGGCTGGTGAACCTCAACGCTCTGCTCTGCTGAAGCCTTCTCACGTATTAGTTATTAAACTTGTTTGGCTTTGAAAGCCCTGCAAGGTGTCTTGTAAGACCCAGCTAGGTGAGAAAGCAGCATGTTGCTACAGGACTGCCAAAATACCTGGGGTAAAAATGGTCCTGGTTTCATGGATGCTGTTTAGGTGACACCAATCTCCTGTGCTTTTAGGACACTACTCCCGATGAGCTGCTGTCTGCTGTTATGACAGCCATCCTGCAAGACCTCAACCTTCCTCCTGAGGCCCTGGGCGATATCTGCATGGGTGAGGGAACCGCTTCTGTGCCCTCCTAAAGCTGCAGGCTGTGGGTAGCACCCTGGGACAAGCGGTGCCTTGTGTCCCTTAGGAGACCAAGTGGGTAGTTGGGATTTGCGAAGGGTTGATGCTACCTTTAAGAAATGAGTGCATCCTTTATGGCTCTGCTGTTAAGTGGTCGGGTTGTGATGTAGATACCAGATAATACCAGCCTGTGATGGTCTTCACATCCCATAAAGATTCCCACTGAATGAACTTGCTGGGGAAATGCAACCGATTGACTGGAATTGTGTCTTTGCACGCAGGGAACGTGCTGCAGCCTGGAGCCGGCGCTTTGACCGTGAGGATTGCACAGTTCCTAAGGTAAAGTCTCTGCCATGTGGTGGCTCCTTCTTGTCTTCTCAGGCCTTGGCTGTGCAGCAGCGCTGGTCAGAGGTTGCAATAGGGCCTGTGCACTTCTAGGAAGTTAACTTCTAGGCAAAAGGTGATTAGACTTAAGACTTGGATTGAGGGTTCACAGATCACTGAACAGGAGCAGAAAAACCCTTAAGATTTGGGTTGAGGATTCACAGATCCCTAAAGGGAGAACAGGGTTGCAGTATGGTGAGGAGTTGATTTTTCCTTCCAAACAAACATTGCTCCACCTGCTTGTTGGGTTGCACTAATGCTGTGGTTGTGACCTAATTTGACCACTCTGCTTCTTAAGTCTGACTGCCCTATCCCTGAAGGGAGAAGCAGGGTTGCAGTATGGTGAGGAGTTGATTTTCCTTCCAAGCAAACATTGCTCCACCTGCTTGTTGGGTTGCTCCCCTATCTCCTCATCAGTACAGCAGGGCCAACAAGGAGGTGCAAACGCTCCCCTGGCACCTGGCAGCCTTCCCAGTGGGTCAGAGTTGAGGCAGATCCTCTGTTTGTGCTGTTTCTCTGAGCAGGAGCCCTTGTTTTTGGGTCCCTGGCTGTACCTGCTGTTCTTCTGTACCATGCTCAGGCCTGCATGGAGCAAATCAAAATGAAGGAGTTGTCTCAGCAATTTCTACTTGTTTCCTATCCCAGTGTGATAAGTTTGTGGCTGGTTCCAACTTCCAAATGTTCCAGCTGGTTCATATTGCTAAGTGACATTCCCCTCAGATTGATTTATGACCACCAGGACAGTGTGACTGCTGCAGGAGCTTTCAAGTTTCTGCACCCACTTAGAGCTTTTACATAGCTTGGCCTTTAGATGTGAAAAGGGGAGCTACTTACAGGGAAAAACTGTGCTGAGGATGGACCTGTAGGGAACCAGCACACTAATGAACGTGCAAATTATTTGGAAGTTACATGACCTTTACTTCCACTTGGTGCAAGACCAAGTAGGTCAAATGGGATTGTTTGTCTAAATCTCAGGGTTAAAGTTTAATTTAGTGGCTTAACGTTCTCTTTACATATGCAGCTTGTTGTGCAGTTTTTATTACTGAATCTTTGCCAACGCTGTTGTCTGTTCTAGCGGTATCCCAGAGACTGTACCTTGCTCAGCTGTTAACAGGCAGTGCTCCTCTGGGCTGCAGGCTCTTATCAATATAGCTGGTAAGTGGGTATTAAGTGTTATAGCCACTCGATTGAAATCACTGTCTTCATCAACACTTATCTCTCCTGTTAGAGGGACTGGATGCCAAACCTCCGAGCAGTAAAAATAGTGAAAATTTCTTCTGTCACAAATCTTCAATGTGGTTTTAGTTGAACACATTTATATCCTTGAAATCAGAAGGAACACCTATTAAGATTCACTGGTATTTTCTTGTCAAAATGGTAGTTAAAATACATTATCTAAGCTCATAATGGTCTCCTCTGCAACTTATCCAAAAAAGTCTGAGTTTACACCTAGAGGAGTAACCTTGATTTCTCTGAGGGCGAGTTCTACTCATTGGGCAGCTTCTGGTAGGGCCAGTTCCATCCTCTCCATTTGCACGTTGGGACAGAACTAGTCTTCAGCCAGATCCGTTCCCAGCCCTGGCTCACATTCCAGCAGATGAGAGTGAGGAGCAAAAGCTTCTTTGACTTCAGGATGTGCATCAGGTTTTGGTGAAACTGCAGCTGGAGGGAAGGTGGTTTTTTTCCTAATGATAGTAAAAAATGCTTGTGCAATACCATTGCAGGTGGCATCCGAAATGGGGCGTATGACATTGGCCTGGCCTGTGGGTAAGATCATCTTTTTATGGCCCTTACTTAGGCTTCTTGAAAGCAGAACTTCTGCCTAGCACTTTCTGCAGTAGTATCCTTCTGCCTGAGCTTTGGCATGAGGAATTGGAAATCCCTTCCAAGGAGATCTGTCTTCCTGCCCCCCTTGAACTGCCTCCCCCAGGATATAGATACTCCCTTAACAAATGGCTGAATTGACTACAAAATTAGAGCCTGAAGTCACACAGATGTGATCCATATATTTGCAGGTGCTTCTGAGAAGTTTTTAGGGAATCGCTTATCCTAAAGAGTCTGAGGGTGGGTATTTGAAAATCCTTTAACTCTCTGGTTTGCAATTATAGGCTGATCAATCTTGGCTTGGCTTAATTATTTCTTCCAAGCATGCAAAACCCCTTTTTATCCTATTTATTATGTCCCTGCTGTAGGGTGCCATTTGTATGCAGAGCTCTCACAGCCTGAAAGAGCCCTGTAATTAGCATTTCAATTAACTCCTTATTAACTTAAGAATACCAGGAGCTATACTGGACAAAGAAATAAATGGCCTGCTCATGCTCATAACTCTTGCACAGTCTTTCAGGAGATGTTCTGCTGTCCCGAATGGGAGTGCTTCTGTCTAAAAATTATATAAAGTTTTTCAGAAGATGATACAAACATTAGGTTGGCTTTAGAGAAATGCTAGTGACCACATGTACCTTTGCCTCAGAAAAATGAGTTAAAGAAAGGTGTTTGGTAATTCTGAGGTTGCTTTCACATTTTTGCCTCAGTGTTTCTCCTGGATTATTCCCACACACAGTCATGCTGTAGCTTTTAGAAAAGTCTCTTTTTATAATGTCTTGACAACTGCACACACCTGGCTGAGCAAGATCTGATGCCAAGAACCTCTTTTTCCCTCTTGGACTGTTATGAAATGAATGGCACAGTCAGATGAGTGGGTTCTCTGATGCCTGCTGAGCACGTGGTGTCCATGGGGTCACTCTGGTTGACTGAGTGATGCTTTCTGCTCTTCCCTTGGCTGCCTAGGTGCAAAAAGTATCGTTTTGGTGGATACTGCCAAGCAACACTTGGAGATCCTGAATGGTTATGCAATTGCAATAGCTCCTTGAAGACCTAGAACATTACAAATACTTTTTGTGAGTTTTTTTTTTTAATCCCAAGTCATGCTCCCAACCTGAGCAGACTTGCTTGTCTTCTGAATATGGAGACACTGCATGACTTCCAACCCAAAATACCTTAGGTGAGGCTTGATCCAGTTAAAGTTTGATTCTACCCCTTCCACCTGGGAGTAGCTGCAGTTGAACTCGAGCAATGCAGTGCCCTGTGTTAGAGTTGGCATGTGCTGCCAGCTATTTACTTGCTTGGGAGAAAAGCCTTGTCCTTTCATTTTCCAGGAGTTTCTTCTGTTAATGGTTTTTTTCTGTATTAATGTACATGTGCATGGTGCAGGGTATAAGTAAATTCTTCTGACTTGGATTTCTTGGTCTACTTGGAGTTTACCAAAGCTTACTAATGTGAAGTGATGGTTCGTGTAGTAAATCTTTTATATTGAATGTGTTAATTCATTTGTAGGCCAAAGACTGCAGCTTCTAAGAGCTCAAATTCTTTCTGTTGCAAAATACAAATGACATAACTTGCTAAGCTGCTTTTTTTTTCTGGTTTGCATAATGCTTACACTAATATACTGCCAAGCAGTTTTTAAGCTGTAACTGGCATCTTTTTACTGTTGATTTCCCTGGAAACTCCAGCCCAAGAACCTTAGGTTTCTTATTACATTGGGTGATGAGAGTGCCAAAATAGTTAGTGATTCCTTCCTAGGCTGTAAAAACACAAGGAATTAGCTGTTGACAATGGCATCCTGTTCTAGTAAAGCGAGGAACAATTTAATCTAGCAATCTGTTTTCATATCCTGTTAATACTTATATTGGTGGTGAAGCTTGCATCTGAGCCAGGTTTTAATTGCTGTCTGCATTACCTAGACAATAGGTGTAATAATGTAGTCAAGATAGTGAATTTTCATCTATTGAATAATTATTGCAAATGCAGTATGAAAGTGTTGACAAATTCAAATTATTCCTCTGTCTAGCGTGGAATCCATGTCCCTCAGAACTGCAGACAACCCTGGTGATATCAGTTCTCGTACGATGGAAAACAGCAAAGCTCGGGACTGCCTTACTCCTATGGGGTGAGTGTTTCCTCTTCCCAAGGTTTAAGGGTTAGGGTTATAGATTCTCTGTCTTTAGGAACTGATCTATTTTAAGTGGATGAGCTTCTGGATACAGTGAATTCGGATCTGTATGTGTCAGCATCCTCCTCTGCTGTAGTGAAAGACTCGTTGTGTGAAATGAAAATGGTCTGTTCTGACGAACATTCTCCTCATCTTACTGGAAAGCTCAGTGGCTTAAGAGTGCAAATAACTGTCTAGGCTGTCTGGAAATGCTGTTGAACTTCATGATGTGAACTTTCACACACAAAGAAGCAGCCAGGTCTTAATAAATTAACATATTGCTGCTATGTGCAGTGATAAAGGTGGAGGATAACAGCTGTCTTGAGCTTTCCTCTCACGCTCAACCTGCCAGCAGCACCCTTCCTTGACTTGATCACACTTGGGTGAAGATGGGGGCCCAGAGGGGAATCCCTGGGATTCCTCCCCTCTGATGGGAGAGGGGATTTGAACTGTGGGGTGGTGGTGGATTTCAAGCAGGGTCTCCTTCTGCCAAGCAGGTCTGCCTTGAGAAGGCAGCAGTTGACTTGAGGAATGAAGTTGCTGCTTGTGTGTCTTTGTATCTTAGAAGCTGATTGCAATTCCACTGTATGTGTCATTAGACTAATTCTGTGATGTTTTTCCCCAGAATAACCTCAGAGAATGTGGCAGAAAAGTTTGGAATTTCCCGAAAGAAGCAAGATGCCTTTGCCTTGGCTTCCCAACAAAAGTAAATACTCTTTTTTCTTTTTTTCTTTTCATCTTTTGGTTAAGGAATAAATACAGAGAACTGGGGAAAAAACATTGCTATTTCCCCTTAGTGAATAAGTGCAGCCTTTATTGCTTTCCAAAATGTAGCAGTGAGGAAGGAAACTTGATGGTCAGAGTGAAGATGAGTGGATCCTTGGTGGTGTGATAGGAAATCTGACTCCTGGACTCGGTGAGGTGCATGACTAATCCTTGTGCACATACCTCTGGAAATGCCAGCTTTAAGCACTGAGTGCCCCTGGGTTTTTCAGCATCCAAAGGATACAACTTTCATGAACTTTCTGAAACCAATGTACAGCTCTATGTTATTTTAAATGGAGTTTTGGGTGTTGCATTAGAGGGAAACTTTCCTAAAAGGATTTATTTGAAAGTGATCATTTCTAAGGAACTGCTGAGTTTACGAGAAGAGTTGCTTGTTTTGCTGCAGGTGTTTGGCTTCAACTGAGTCCAGTTCTACCTCTAATAATGTTCTTTTTGGGTCAAAAATTACTGCCAAAGTAAACTATCCTTTGGATCCATGGAAGTGCATTATCAAGTTCATTAGAGGAGACACTGAAGTTGCTGGCTCCAAAGAGTTAAATTAACTTTTGGAGGTCTGTCCTTGCATTGTCCCAGTCCAATTATTTATCTAATACAGGAAGCCACTGCACAGGCCAGTTAACCTTTAAATTCTGGCCCTGTTTCTAGGGAACTTGGCATGCCAGCCTTTCTCACTGACATTGAGCTGATAACGCAAAAGGGCATGTGAATGTGGTCCTGCCTCTCCTGAGGAAAGGAGTCATTTTTCTGGCCTCTGTGGTGTTGCTGATCCATCCTACAGCCTTTCACTCTTACTTTCATTTACTTGGGAATATTATTTTCATTTTATGAATTAATGTAAAGCAGTGAAGGGGTGACAAGTCCCACTCTTGTTCCCTGTAAAGGGTGCTGTGCTGCTGGCAGGCTCATCTTCTGTATGAGCCCTACAGTGGCAGGTTTTATATACCTTTTTAGTATAAAAGATAAGTCTTTTATGCCTGTAAGAATTGAATCTGTTTCCTAAATTGATTCTAGTTAGGCGAATTGCATTCTTCCTTATGTTCCTTGTTCCTTCCTGCAGTGCTGCTGTCACTGTGATCCCTTCCTTCTGTCACTGTGACCCATTCAGCACCTTTGATGCTGAACGAAGGGACTCCCTGCTATGTGGTCACAAGCTGTGCATGATAAGTTGGAATTGTTTTGGGCTGAAAGGTGATATTTAGGTGTCAGACTGCACTACAGCCCAGAGTCTAAAGTTCAACTTGTCTTTAATAGGACAAAGGAGGGAGTGAAACTTAAGCCATTCTTTAACTTGTTGGCAATGGTCTGTGTTTGTAGAGCCCTAGAGGACTTGTCCAATTTTAAACTCTAAGAATTGAATGCTGAATGTCAAGATTTACTCATTTTCTCCTGGTTGTGCTGCAAGGCAAGTGCAGCTCCATGGCTGTGTGCAGGTGGTGGCCAGCAGAGTCAGGTGCTAGAGAAACTGCTGTGATCCTGCTCAGAAGTGTGTGGTCCTGTCACCTGTGCCTGAGGAGATTCCCCTTTGTTAGGGATATTTCCTGGGATGTACAGATAAGAAGTTTGTCTTTAATATTGAGTGGAAATAAGTATTCACAGTATCTACCCGTAATCTTCTCAGTAGGGATGTATCTGTAAAGCAAGTCATGTTTTAATTTGTGTTTTCCCTGAGTGGCTTGGTGCAGTCTGGCTATGGACTACTTTAAACTTCTGTCTCCAACAGAGCAGCAAGAGCTCAGCAGCTGGGGCTGTTTAGAGCTGAGATTGTTCCAGTGACAACCACGGTTGTAGATGACAAGGGCAATCAGAGAACCATCACCGTGTCCCAGGACGAAGGCATCAGGCCCTCTACTACCCTGGAAGGCTTGGCAAAGCTGAAGCCTTCCTTCAAGGCGAATGGCAGCACCACACCAGGTGAGCTCTGTTAATGAATTCCTGTGGCTGTTGCTGCTCCTTGCTGTCCTCGCGCTAAAAGGTGCAGAGCCGAAGGAGGCCCTCACAGATCCCTCCCAACAGGCAATGCCAGCCAGGTGAGTGACGGAGCCGCCGCTGTCCTCCTGGCGAAACGCTCCAAAGCGGAGCAGCTGGGGCTGCCCGTCCTGGGGGTGCTCAAATCCTTCGCCGTGGTTGGAGTCCCGCCGGACATCATGGGCATCGGACCGGCCTACGCCATCCCCGTGGCTCTGGAGAAGGCGGGTAAGGAACTGCCTGCTGAGGACATGGTTCCACATGTGGCAAAGCAGACTCTGGGGAAGGACATCTGGAATGGGGGAACTTTAGGATGTGCAGCTGTGTGCAATGGGAACAGGGAGCTTAATTTAAACCTTCCAAAGATCCTGCCAGGGGTTACTGCAGTACTGTTTATTTGTACTGATGTGGAAATTGTTGTTCACTCACTCCTAGAAGCCCAGAGTGAAACACCTGCACGATCCCAACAAATGGTTAATACATGCCGAGTGCTTCAGAGCTCATTTGATGCCATTTTCCTTAATATGACTGGGGTGGTGTTTTGTGAATTCCTGCCAACAAATCAGTCTTGCTAGTGATGAATCCTGAAAGCTTAGAACACTTTGGGTTCTCTCTTCCATTTAGCTGGTCAAAAGTTACAACTGTGAGGTCTGACCAGTGCATGAGGCTTTCCTGAGGGGTCTTACTGCCCTCCCAGCTCCTCAAGAGCTCATATACTCATGACCACGGTGACAACAGGCAGGCACAACAGTAGGCATGTGCTCAGCTACAGTTTTATCTGTCTCAAAATACCCTTTTGATCTTTAATCCCTCTACAGAGAAACCACCTTTAATCTAAGGAAGTTTGGCAAGCTCAGATAGCCAGGAATGTGGTGACTTGCAGGCTATAGAAATCATTGTGCTTGCACATGCATGTAAACATACATGCCCCATGGAGCAAAGGTCGCCCTCTTGTCAATACTGGAGTAGAACCAGATTTCATGAAGGGAGGCTTGAAATGAATTGCTCTTTGCACTCATAAGGCAAAAATACCTCCTTTTAAATCCTGACTTTTCTGAACCATAGGTTTGACTCTGAATGATATTGATATATATGAAATTAATGAAGCCTTTGCTAGCCAGGTGAGTGATCATCTTGTTTAACTTGCTGTATTGCTTGGTAGCAGAGGATGTTTCAGCTTGGTCTCAATTTCAGCTTCAGTTTGTTCGACCCATTACATGTCCAATGCATCATTAATAACATGCACAGACTATTTTCCACTTTTCTTCAAATAAATGCAAGCAGGATGTTGCTTAAAATATTTCTTAGAGGGCAAATTTGTCCACTGAATGAGAATCTTTGCTATTGTGTCCTTATACCAGCTTGCAAAATGTGCAGTTTCACATGAGATGCCATTTGTTGTAGGGTGGTTTCAGTAGAAATGTGTTGCAGTCTTGTCCGTTTGGTGGTGCTTAGTAAAAGGTAGAAGCTTCCTGTGTCTTTTAAAAATAGATATACCCATCAGCAAGTATGTGGGTTCAGTCTGAGATAACATTATCAGTCTAGCTCTGTTCATGTGCTTTGGCTATGCAGTGTAGCCCTGTGTTCCCCTGGGAAACATGCCCCAGCTGAAGAGCTAGCCCCTCTTCTGATTGATATATTATGTAATGTTTAAACAACTGAAATGTTTTCATAGCAGCTGATCTGGCAATCTGTGCAATGGAAAACATGACTTGAGCCCTGTGTCTTTTAAAAATAGATATACCCATCAGCAAGTATGTGGGTTCAGTCTGAGATAACATTATCAGTCTAGCTCTGTTCATGTGCTTTGGCTATGCAGTGTAGCCCTGTGCTGTGTCTTCTTAAAATATGATATACCAATCAAAGTATGTGGGTTCAGTCTGAGATGACATTATCAGTCTAGCTCTGTTCACGTGCTTTGGCTATGCAGTGTAGCCCTGTGTTCCCCTGGGAAACATGCTCTACCTGAAGAGCTAGCCCCTCTTCTGATTGATATATTATGTAATATTGAAACTGAAATGTTTTTGTAGCAACTGATCTGGCAATCTGGGTTCTGTGCAATGGAAAACATGACTTGAGCTAAGTTGATCAAGTACAAATTTTTTGAAGTCCCTGGGCTTGGGCAGTGTTGTCTGCCCATCTGGTTGCCATCCCTTTGCATAAACCAAGTGTTCTGGCTAGCACAGCAAGGCTGAGAACTAAGAAAAGGAAGAAAATCCCTGAGATGATTCCCTGTGTCTTTCCAGGCTGTGTACTGCATTGAAAAGCTGGGAATTCCCTTGGAGAAGGTCAACCCCCTGGGAGGAGCCATAGCTCTGGGCCACCCGCTGGGCTGTACCGGCACTCGCCAAGTTGTCACTTTGCTCAATGAGCTGAAGCGCAGAGGGAAGAGGTGAGTCCTGGAGAAGTGTTGAACACATCAAACATATCCAAGGAACCATCTCAGAAGGAACCATCAGCCTGTGGTGCTTGTTCCTCGCACACTATGTGCTTTGCTCCCAAGTTAAAAATATCTTGGTGACTTTGGAGAGCTCTGGTTAGCTCAAATATCTTGTACTTTTCCTCATAGATAATCCAACCTTAACCTTTCTCTTCTGTTTCAGAGCATATGGTGTTGTATCCATGTGCATGGGAACTGGCATGGGAGCTGCAGCAGTATTCGAGTATCCAGGGAACTAAACTCCAGTGCCCTGAAGACCCAGTGCAGCACTTAATTCTCTGCCTTTTCTAGTTATAGCAAATGATTTGCACTGCAAAATCAAGTGGATTCAGGGATTCCTGACTAGCCCTATGGATCTTAGCCACAAATTAAGCCAAATAAATATTTTCATCTGGCATTCACTTGAGTTGAAATGCATCCTAACATGAGAAATGGATCACCTGAACTTCAACTACAGACCTAGCTGGGATGCTTATGAATTAATATTTCTAATCTACCTGATCCTTTCATTCTGTGAATATTATCAGAGTAGTAGATCACAGTCACCTTGTTTGACAAATTTTCACAACATTCACTTACATGCATTGCCACTTTCATTTTATGGCTTTTCCAAGATTTTTTTTAAAGATCTTTATATAAATCAGTCTTGTAAGTTCTAGAATTTTTTAAAGATCTTCATATAAATCAGTCTTGTAAGTTCTAGAAAGGCTCATTTTTGTAAGCAGTGCAAAGATGGCTAATATCTTTTACTTTCTAACTGTTGTATACAAGTTGTAGGCAGGCTATGTCTTAAACTGCCCCTATGCTGAGGGGTGTGCTTTAGCATTCTTTTAAACAAAACTGGTATGAAATCTATGGTGGGGCAACATGGGAGGCTTAAGTAGTACATTTATAACCCAGGCTTTTCTTGTCAAACAAGTGATTAAAGGTTTGATTAAAGAGCTAGAAGCTAGAAAGCTGAAACTGGCCATTCTATCCCTTAAAACATTTATTTTTACACTAACTTGTGTAATTTTTAACTTGGAAGACAAGGTTATGTTTAATGATATTTAATTATCTAACAAGGAAGAGATTTCAGCATATCACTGACTGCAACACTATGATACCATCAGCAACATGCTCAGTACTTCCATGCAGTACAAATATATACCTTGCATACTGCAAAGTTCTCCTAGCTGTGTTCTCCCTCTTATGAGCAGAAAGATCATTAAAGCTCAAAGTGCTTGAGAAGGAAATGTATTCTTAAGCTTTTCTAACATGTCAAAGATAAAATTTTAACATAGGCTGGAGTACTTTGTCATGGCTCTTGTTTTTGCACTTAATAAATACAATCATGTTCTTGCAATGAGTTGTATTTGTTTTTGTTATGGTTGTTATATGAACAGTATGATTAAGTAGAGCTCTTTTCTATTCTCACACTCCTGTTTTGCAGCCAGTCTCACTCAGCAATTATGCATGCTGTTTTAGAGCAAAAATATGGAACTACCCAGAGGGGCAGAGAGCCCCTTTCCATCTTCCATTTTGCACCCTGAGCCTCCTAGGGCTACACTGACTTCTTGCTGCTGGCACAGCTGAAGGCAGCTGCTCATCATCATCATTTGTTCACTACACATTGCAGCCTGCCTCTGATAAATGCCTTTTACAGGAGTGGACTGGAAAACTGAACAGGCTCAGAAGTGGGGATTTCAGGGACTTTTTTTTTTTTTAAATGTTACTTTCACTAAAGAGAAGTGTGAGCAAATGGGAACCATATGGGGGGAAAGAATTAAAAGCAAGATGGGTTCCTCCCTCACTGAAGGGGCTGTTTGCAGTACCCAAGTGGGATGAAACAAGCACAGGGGTGACTTTTCCACAGAGTTTAGGGAAAGTTGGTGGTCCCCCTTTCTATGCAAGGCACTGAGCAGGCACCCAGGAAGAATGCTGGCTTTAATCAGGGCCTCTTGCTGTTATTATTCATCAATGGCCATTTAAATGGGGGGAGGGAAAAAGGAGCCCCAAAGCAAAGCTGCCTTTTAAAGGTATCAACAGTCTTTTGATTCAAATTTGAGCATCTGCAAAGTGGCTGTGGCCTAACTGGTAGCATATCTGCATTACAATTTTAAATTGATTATTTTGTAGAGCTGGCTCTTGTGGGATAGTGGGATAATAGCAAAGGATGCGGTTGTAACTATTTTGAAGGGTTGTGAACTTTTAGTCTTCATAACATCAAAGTTAATTTTATAAAAGCTCATATTTCAAAACTGAAGTAGCCAAAATACCAGCTCAATATCTGACCCATTACCTCAACATTTATCCCACAATGTCTGGCCTAGGTCATATACAGATCTTCATACTTTTCATCATTTGTCCCTTGTCCCCTGAGCTGTAGCTTGCAAGGCTTCTCTCCTAGCATTCCAGTAATGGTCACAGTAGCTTCATATTCAATGTTGCTCCTAAAATGCAAAGGGAAAAGATGGTTCAGTTACAGCTGGCCACAATTGTCTTTTTTAAGGATGAAACCGGATACTTGGTGGAGGGAAAAAAGAGCAACACAGAGGATATGCTAAAAGACTGCTAGTCTTCAACTCAGGTAAAGAGGTGGAGTTACTAACTTCATATTTCAAAGAACTGCAGCATCTTCCTAGCTGTGAAATTTAAAAAATAAATGAAACAAAATTTAGCATTCTCTTGGGGGTTAGCGTTATTTGGGAGCAGGTGCCTGCACGATCTTGATGCGACAGCCCCCCCACCCTGCAACAGTCAAGTTGGAAACCAAAACATTTATGTTTATCTCTTATCCTAATGGAATGATCAGCTGAATTCTGGTTTTAGCATAGAATCATAGAATGCCTAAGGTTGGAAGGGACCTCTCGAGGTCATCTAGTCCAACCCCCTGCACACGCAGGGTCACCTAGAGCACGTGGCACAGGACTGCGTCCAAGCGGGTTTGGAAGATCTCCAGAGAAGGAGACCACAACCTCTCTGGGCAGCCTGTTCCAGTGCTCTGGCACCCTCACTGGTAAGAAATTTTTCCTTAAGTTCCTGTGGAACTTTTGGTGTTTCAGTTTGTGGCCATTACCTCTAGATCTGTCGGTGGCCACCACTGAAAAGAGGCCGCCCCATCCTCCTCACTCCCTCCCTTGAGGTACTTCTAGGCACTGATCAGGTCCCCTCTCAGCCTTCTCTTCTCCAG